CCAGTTAAACTTTAACCATTAAGCTTCTTGATATAAGTCTAAGAGTGTTATGTAGTCGATAACCACAAAGTTCTATTAACTTAAAACAATCTCACTTAAAATATTTTTTAATACACTTTTGCAAAAAAATTTATATGGATACAAAAACTGTAACGCTAAATGAAATAATTCGAGAATACGAATAAAAAGAATGGGAAAAAAAGTTTTAGAATAGCTTCTTTTTATTCTGTTAGAACACAAGATAATTTTTAGCAATTTAGTTTTGAATGAAACGCTTATAATGCTTTCGAATGCTGATAGACTTTTCATTCGTATCAAGCAAAAATCATAAAAGTAGAGATATAAGGTAAATATTATACACATTTTTCATATTTTAATTTCGAGCGTATTATTAAAAAAATTATCGTTTTATATAAAATAAACAAAAACTTTGATATCAAAACTAGTTTCATTATCTTTATAGAAATTTTATTTGAAAGAAAAATTATGGCAAAAAAAAGTATAGCGTGGAAGTTCTTTGATATAAGCACGACTCCTCATATGAGTAAGTGCAAACTATGTGATAGTTTAATTACGAGAGGGGGAAAATCTTTCAAGTCTTATGGAACTACAGCAATGGTAAAACATTTGCGTTTAAAGCATTCCAAAGAGTTTGAACTTGCAGAAGAAAAAAAAAAGATTCAATCGTTGCCGTCTATTTCTGAAGCCTCAGTTGCTTCTACCACCAATACAGTACAAAGTAACATTATTCAGGCTTTACACAAAAAAAAAACAGTGGAATATTGATGACCACAGATCTATTCGAATCCATAAAATAATAGGAAAACTTATCACATTGGATATTCAGCCATTTTCTATTGTTGAAGATACGAGGTTTAATGAACTGATTAAAGATGCTTACCCCAATTACAAATTACCATGTAGAACATATTTCAGCCAAAACGTAATTCCTAGCATGTATGATGAACTTTTTAAAGATATAAAAATAAAAATCTCCGCAGCAAACTATTTGTCTTTGACGACAGATTTTTGGACAGCGGATACTGCAAAAATCGCATTTTTAAGCATTACTGGACATTGGATAGATCTAACTAAATTTTCCCAAGAAACTGCTGTTCTTCAAGTAATTCATTTTCCGGAAAAACACACAGGTGTTCATATAAAAGAGTATTTACAAAAAGGTTTAGAAACTTTTGAAATCCCGTTAAGCAAAATTCATCTTATTGTTACCGATAATGCAAGCAATATGAAGGCTGCAGTAAAAAACAGTGGAATGTCATCAATTCCATGCTTTATCCATACTTTGCAGCTATGTATTCATGACTCTATATTTAGCCAAGAAACCATCAAGGAAATTTTAACTTTATGCAGAGGAATAACGACACATTTTAATCATTCACCAATAGCATGTGCAAAATTAAAATCAATTCAGCAGCAGTTAAGTACTGTACCTCGCAAAATGAAACAAGATATTCCAACTCGCTGGAACAGTTCATTTGAAATGCTACAAAGAACGTTTGAACAAAAAGTTCCTTTGGCCACCTATGCAGCAGAATATGATGAAATTAAACTTCCTACTAATTATAAATGGGGAATAGTCGAAAAACTTGTTCACATTCTTGCTCCATTTGAAAACTTAACAAAAAAATGTGATAGGAGGGACGAAACTTGCGCACAAATTATACCATCTGTTCTTGCATTAAAAGTTTTATTACAAAAAGCTTTATCAAGTGATATATACGCTGGGATTATGACGATGATTGATGAACTAATAAAATCTGTTACTAAAAGACTTGATAAATTTTTGCTTAATAAAATGTTATGTGTATCAACATTTTTGGGTCCATGATATAAATTACTTTATGAACATGCAGATGAAAATGTTATTAAGGAGTGGGTTGAAGAAGCATGGAAAGAAATGCAAGGAGCGCAAGATGTTGTTGACTCTGACTCCGACAATGCTCCAATAGTAAAAGCTCCAGCATCTAATGGATTCATTAGCATTGATGATTTTTTTAAAGATGTAGCTTCTATGAGAACCGGAAGAAAATAAAAGTACTTTGTTTTTGTGGTGGAGTAAATGTGGAATGCAATTTGAAAAACTAAAAAAGATGGCATTAAAATATCTTACAGCACCTCGGTCATCAATAGAAAGTGAAAGGTTATTTAGTGCTGGTGGGGACATATACGAAGCAACAAGAAGCAGACTAAAAGCAGATAACGGAGAATACCTAATGTTTGTGCATTACAATCTAAAGTTAATAAAACAATTAAAATAAGATACAGCAAATAAGTGTTGTTTAAGTTCTTTTTATTTGTTTTATTTTAATTACTCTACAGTGGAGAAGGTCTACCTTTTTTTGCAATTCTTTATATTTCTTAATCTTTTGCTTTCCATATTACAACTTTCAATGGGGGAACTTCAAATTTTGCCCCTTTCCCCACAAAATATTATTTAGGCCCGCTCCACCAGGAAAAGAAAATAATTTTAAACTAAATATAGTTATTAAAAAACTGTTGCACAACTTTTAAAAAAAGTTAGGCCCTACAACTCAGGCCCCTTACCCTGCATTGCGGAGTTTTGCTAAATAGTACGTCGGCCACATAACTTTTTGTTAGTTAGCGTAAAAAGCGTATTTTGTGTGAACAGTTCAACCCTAGAGATTTCACAAATTTTTATTCCAACTTTTAAAAAATGGACTCAGTGCCGAGTACCCGGACTCGGACCCGGTTTTTTCAGCCGGGTACCCGGAATCAGAGACTCGGCATAAACTGGTTCCGGCACATCTCTAATATATATATATATATATATATATATATATATATATATATATATATATATATATATATATATATGTTTGGGACACCATTGTTTCCACTGGGTTTAACATTGGACTGTAGGGTCCTAAACATAACAAGCTGGTAAATTTCACAAACTGCCTTTTAGGTAACTGGCAATTGTTGTATTTAAATTTTCTTAATTTTTTTTTTTTTTGGGGAGGAGCTCAATTATAGACTTATTTTTGACACTTAAAGTTTGCTATAGAGTCACCTAATTATCAACTTATTTGGTTTTATGTATTTTGTGCTGACATATTCGACAAATTGGTTCCAGTTGTTCCAGTAGTGGATGTAGGCAAGTTTGGTCAAATAAATGTTTACATGAATTTAATAAAAAACTTTTGGGTTAAGTTTAGTGTATTGACAAATAACACAATGATCTTTTGATTCCATTATTATTGCTGGTGCATACAAACGCTAAATTTGATATTATTAACTTATTCGAATTCATGTTCCAAAAAACCTTTTATAATGCTTCTATATATAAGCTTACATAGTATTTTGCAATTACAAATTTTTTGTTCTCATTTACATATTACAATTTGTGTATCCTTAATTACATTTTACCATTTCTTAATTACATGTTGTGTTTCTTAATTATATATTACAATATCTAAACTACATTTCTTAATTGCAACTTTCGTGCTCTTCAAATCTTGAAAAATTACTTCTTGAAACTTCACATCTTGAAAAGTTTCAAAGCTTATTTCATAATCAATATAAAAAAAGTTTTGAAATAATTTTTTTTAATAATTTTTTTAAATAATTTTTTTATTTTTTAGTTTTAATTTAATTTTGAATAAGTTTAAGGTTTTGGGTGCTTTTGGTGGTTCAGGTGTTTTAATATTTGTTCTAATTATGTTCATATCATGTTTTTTTAATTAATAATGTTTATATTTTATTTTAATTAGTAATGTTCTCATCTTGTTTTTTAAATGATAAAGTTCATATCATAATTTTTAATTATCTATGTTTATATCATATTTAATTATTAGTATTTATACAACCCTCAGAATTAGGAAAAAGGAGGTCAGAAATAATTCTTTTGAGGTCGGCAAAAAAAGTCTAATACAAAGGTCTTACCATAAAACATAGAAACGAAGTCAGCAATTTTTTACCAATCTCAAACACTTTTAGGACGGCAGTTAGGTTGACATAATGTTCATATCATATTTTTTAATTACCAAAGTTTATATCATTTTTTTTTTAATTATTAGTGTTTATATCATGTTTCTTAGTTAATAATGTTCATATCATATTTTTAAATTAATGTTCATATCATATTTTTTAATTATTAATGTTCATATCATATTTTTTTATATATTTTTTTGTACTACACATTTGATTTCAGTAGAAGTATTTATTTATTTATTTTTTTTTGAGATTTTCAAGCAAAAATAAAAATAAAAAATGCATATATTTCCATTATACTCATTGCGGTATTTTTTGTGTAACATTTCTTTGGTTTGTTAATTGCTTTTATATTTTTTGTAGGTGGAAACATACCTTCATATTCTCTGTTATGTTTGGTCTGCCTGTTATTTTAACTAAGTTTACATACATGATTTTAATGAAACATAACATTCACGATATATTGTTAATTTCGGGATTATCATTGGAAAATATGATTTTGTTGTCATTGTGTTCAATTGTTCAAGTAATCTTTCAATGTTGTATTATTTAACTGGGCTTAAATTAACACACAAAAATCTAATCATAAGATGAAACTCTGTCCCAAATCCTCTCCTACGGTGGTAAAGCCCCTGTAAAGTTGTTTAAAGTTAGTTAAAACTTTGTGTATTTTTCTTTAAGATTTAACTTATAATGAATTATTACGAATATTTTCATAAATATTATAAATAAGTTTTGTAAATAATAAAATTATAAAAAAAAATTTATAAATAATAAGTGTGCAGTTTTTTAGTAAATGATAAAATTTGTGGTTTGAATAAAAAAATAAAAATATTTTACTCAAGTAAGAAAATTCTAAATTCATTTTGAAAGTATATTTTAAGGTTTTTGCAGTCTTACTTCATTACTCAAACGATGATAAATGGTTATAAATTTTTATATAGATTTTTTTTATAATGGTTAGTTCTAAAAAATTAGTTTCAACAACAACAAAAAAATTTAAAAAAAATTCAAATATTAAATAAGAAAAGTAAGATCATGATTCAGTTGATCATGATTTTATTGATTCAGTTGATCATGATTTTATTGATTCAGTTGATCATGATTTTATTGATTCAGTTGATCATGATTTTATTGATTCAGTTTATCATGATTTTAGTGATTCAGTTGATCATGATTTTAGTGCTTTAATTTAAGTCCTGTTTAACTTTTAATTTTTAAAATTTTCTCAATCCGTGAATGATTTTTTATTTTATATTATTTAAAAGAAAAATAACAACTTTCTTCAGGTAGTAAGTGGAAGATACTTTTATACTTCTGCTATTAAATCTTTAAGACACCGTACAACAAATATGGATGTTTTGGTTGTGCTGGCCACAAGTATTTCTTACATCTATTCTGTAAGTATTTTTAGTTTTATTTTACATTTAACTTATTTTATTTATGTTTTGAATAAATATTAGTAAAATGATAAAATAAATTGAAAAATAATAGTAAAAACAAATATGAGTTGTCTCCTGAAATATAGTGGTGTTTTGAGCCTTAGGGAGATGATTATAGCAATAAAAAAATTTATCTGGCTTGGCTTTTATTTATGTAAAAAAATCAGTTAAATGACAGATATAAAAACTGTGTTTACATGAATTATGAATAAATATAATTTTGAAATATATTTATTTGAAATTGTTACATAAAAATGTTATGTTACTAGCAGAAAGCAATCCTTAATATGGGTTATGGTCAGACTGTTACATAATTAATTTATAGTGGGTTTAAGCAAACTGTTTTAAACAATTTAATTTAAAGTTGCAAAACCTTAACTTATACCCTTTTAGAAAAACGCCTTTAAATTGAAAGTATTAATCCATCTCTAAAATTAATATTAAAAGTATGAAAAGGTAAAATAATTTACCAATTAATATATAACATTGTTTGAATAATTTACAACTAACATATGTCATATCAGTGTGAGGCAGAATCATTTTTCTCGACATTCTAAAAGTTCAACGCAATACGTTTTTAGTTACTGATACAAAATAGTAACACTTCATCGTGCTTTAAATTGACGAAAATATCAACTAACTTCTTGTAATATTTTTTAAAATAACATGAACTTTAATTAATTATTAAGATTAATATGAAGTTAACTTATGTTATACAGGAGTTATTAATTTTTTGGTATCCCCTTGATTAATTTTTCTTTAAAAAAGAAAATTGTTATCTTAAAAACGTTAAATGCACACAACTAAATTAATTTATTAAAAATAATTAAGTTTACTATAAATAACTAAGCAATTGAGTACATATACATTTTAAACAAAAAAAATTTAATTTACAATCAAACATGTGTATAAGAATTGCAAATTACAAGAATTGCAAATTTCAAGAAGCATATACTCACTAAAGATCTGTGTCTCCATGCTTACAAAATTCAATTCACACAACTACTGAAGCCCAATGACCATGCACAATGAAGAGAGTTTGTTGAATGGATTATTGAGCAACAACAAATGAATGCTGATTTTTTGAGCAAAATCATCCTAAGCGACAAAGCACATTTTCACCTTGATTGCTTTGTTAATTGCCAAAATTGTTGCTTTTGGGGTTCTGAAAACCCACATATTATTGTTAAAAAAAAAAAGACATCCACCACGTGTCACTGTTTGGTGTGCATTTTGGGCTGGAGGCATAATTGGACCATACTTTTTTAAAAATGAGCCTGCTCAAGCAGTGACTGTTATTGGTGCTCGATATCGCGACATGATAACACAGTTCTTTTTGCCGAAATTAGATGATATTGATATGGCCAATATGTGGTTTCAACAAGACGGTGCCACATGCCATACCGCCCGTAAAACACTTCAATTCTTTATGAGACATTTCCAGGTCATGTACTCTCTCGTTTCGGTGATCAGAATTGGCTGATTTAACATTATTAGATTTCTTTTTATGGGGTTATTTAAAATCACAGGTCTTCGTCAACAAGCCCTCAACCAAGCCCTCATTAAAGGAGGAGATTCAACGTTACATCAACGAAATTCAGCCACATTTATGCAGAACGGTCATGGAAAATTTCTACAAACAAGTGCAAATGTGTATGCAAAGCCGCGGAGGTCATTTTCCCAATTTGTTATTACATAAATAACCCTATCCTATGTACTTTATGAATCAATAAAAAAATTACAATCAAAAGAATAAAAACTGTGTTTTCTATTTAGTTCAAATCTTGCGTTAATTTTGGGACACCCTGTATAACTTGAATTGTGCAAACAAATATTTTTAAAATGATATTAGAAAATTTAAAAAGATTCAAAGTAAACAAAATATAAATATATATATACAAACAATACTCTTTACCTTATTTTATATTATTAATATTACCTTATTTTACCTTTATATTATTATTTTTTTTAACCTCACATACAATAAAATGTCAGTGTTGGCACAAAATTTTTATTTATTTTTATAAATTTTCTAAAAAAGAAAAATAGTTAATAGCATCAGAGAAATTTCAAAGTAGTAATAACTAATTTTATGAAAATACCATTAGTATAAATTTTTTGTTGCATAAAAAATGCATAAAAAATAATTAGGCCTCTTCCATACCTCTATTTTCCTTCTAAAAAATAAAATATAAGCTCAATAAAAATAAAACTGCTTTTAAAAAAATTAAGCTAAAAGAAAAGCTAAAACAAACAAAATATAAACAAAAGTAGTGATCCTTTCTACTTTATACCTAATAAAATGTATATATATAAATTGCTATACTATTTTCTATACTTTTATAATGTTATACAATTATAATGTGATCTTAATGATGATTATGTATCTTAATATGATTCTTTATGTGATATTTCTCATCTAATAAATAATAATTAAATTCCAAAAGGTAAAAAGTTTTAACTCGCTTGATAGATCTTTCTCCAATGACCGCGTGCATTTTGAGAATGCGCTCTTTCAAATTCAGAAAAGCCTAGTAACAAATTAAAACTACTTTAAGACCAAAAGTGAAACGACATTTAACGTTGACTCTAGCAGTTATATTAAGATGGTTTAAATCTTTTTTCTCTTTATATTTATTTTCACAAAATTTAATGGGGGGGGGGGTTATATTTTAACATAATAGATAAATGTGTTTTTACAACTCAAAAGGAAGTTTTTTTAAAAAAGATGGTGTAATGTAATCACTTTCATTTATATTCAAATCAATATAGTTTAGAGAATACTGTTTATATTATGAATATCAAATCTCATTTTTGCTTTTAAAATAATTGTCTTAATCTTTATGATTTTATTTTTTGTTAACTTTTGACATTAATGGTGTTATTTTGATTTCATGCAAAGGCATCAAATTCCTAAAGTTTAGCAATTTTTTTGAATGTTCTGCTACAGCAAATTTTGATTTGACAAATTGCTTTGCAATTTCAAGTTTTGTGTTGGTTTAAAGTAATTTGAGTGAGATATGCTAAATAACTAGAAATCTTATAACTTGAGCAATCTTATTACTTGCATTAGATTATTGCTTGTTTATGTTCTATACACCATACAACCATTGAGTGTCTGCATCACTTCGAAAATACGTCTATGTTTAATTTTTGTAAATTTAGTTTTTAAATTTTCTAAAGTATCTAAATTTTACTTGTTTTACTTTAATCTAAGTAAAACAAGTAAAATTACCTTATAAACTAAGAAGAATCTTGTTAATCTGGTTGGTAATTTTCCTTGTAAACTTTGGTTGGTAATCTCCCTTGTAAACCTTGGTTGGTAACCTTCCTTATAAACTGTTATTGTTAATCTTCCATGTAAACCTTGGTTGGTAATCTTTCTTGTAAACTTTGATCGGCAATCTTTCTTGTCAATTTTGAATAGTAATTTTTCTTATGTTAGCATCACAATAAAAATACTCATTCCTGATCTCCAAAACAAATTGATATCAGGAAGAGCTTTCGTTTGTGAAAAATTGCTTCAACTTTTTTATAATTTCACTTTTAAATAAAAAAAGTATTGTAAAGTCAAATCCACACCAGTTTGGAATCGGTTCTAAAAAACAACAATTTTTTTTAAATGCTTATACATAATATTTAAATTATATCTATGATAATAATATAAACATAATAATAAATAATAATAATAATAATATATACATAATATCTATTTTACATTTAAAAGATTTTTAAATAAAAATGTTCTTAGTGGTACCCCTAGGCCCTTCAACACTTAATGAGTCAAACAAAAGTACTTAGTGAACATTTAATTTTGTTAAATGCAGTGTTATTTTAATATATAAAACACATTTAGGTAAAATGTATAGACATAATTAAGATAATAACTTTTGTATTTTTTGACACTCTAGTGTCAAACTATGGACATTGAACATTAAAAGAAAAAAAGGATGACTGTTTTTGAAGTTTAATAGAATATAAATTTTGCCTTTTTTTTATAGGTTATTGTAATTTTAATAGCCATTTGTGCTGGAGCAAATGGTAGTCCAAAAACATTTTTTGAATCACCTCCGATGTTGTTTACTTTTGTTTCCCTTGGAAGATGGCTTGAGCATATAGCTAAAAGAAAAACATCAGAAGCATTGAATAAATTATTATCTTTGCAGCCACAAGATGCCATATTGGTTACACTGAAGGATGAAAAAAAGCTTAAAATTGATAAGTATGTCTTATTTTTTTTTAAATTTACCTGACCTAAAATAGAGCAGTGGTGTAGCATTAGGTTATGCTCCCTAACGGGCTGTTAAAACATTTAAGTTGTCTGCTATAAATAAAAATTATCATGGCATTGCTTTATTTTTTTTTTAATAATTTCAATATAGTTCTGATTTTTTAATGTAGTTTTATTTGATTTGTGTTGTTATTTGTATCGAAGTAAATTTTCTTAATGAGAAATAGTGTTAGTTGTTTTTTGGTATTGTATAATAGAGTGAAGGAAATAAAATCAGGTTGGAAAAAGTTGTAGATAAGTTTAATTGTCTTCAGACCAAATCAAACTTTTTTTTTCAATCTAATGAATTTGTCTAGGAGAAAATCATTATGTTAACAAACAGGTTAACTCACTGTTAACTAACTTAGTGATAACTAACGGTCGATTTTTTTTTTTTTTTTCTCTGATTGTTTTTTTTTTTTTCAGCCTTGTTGGGAGCGAATTCTGATTCACTCCCAACAAGGCTGCAAGCAACCACTATTAAGTTTGGATTTACTAAAAAAAAGAATAGAGTTAAAGAGCAATAAAACGATTGACAGAGAATTTGAAAAGTTGAAGGTTCTATGTTTGAGAATTTGAAAAGTTGTAGGTTCTAGAGCCCCAAAGCAGGGTATTTTTAAGTCGGAAGCCTAGCCTTTGTCTAAAAAAGCATACCCTACAAAGCAGCAGGGCATGGGGCAGGTAGTACTTGGTTACATGATGCCAGTACCAGGATGGTTGTGATGATCCTGAAGTTGCCCTGACCTGGAGTAGTTAAAAGAAACTACTTCCAGCAAACATACCCTAAAAGATTAGGCATAATATTTTAGAAATGCAGCAAGAAAACACTACATCTACTAAAATACTAGAGATTAAGGTGAGCTTAGGTTTTATACTTGGAGTAACTAGTTAGTTTATGAGCTCACACTGCACAGTGGGCCAAGATCCACATAAAATGGACAAAAAATCATAACTCCTTTATTTTTAAAATTGTCAAATTGAAATTTTTATTAGTGACTCTAGTCATCTCATGATGATCTTTTTTTTAAAAAAAAGTTGTTTTTTTTGCAGATGCAGAACTTAAACACTGCAATTGAAAAGGGTGTATAGGGCGTTAAGGATTTTACACCTAACTTTTGTTTGTTTTTAGAAACAGTTTTTCCCAGATTCAAAGCATTAATTAATTAAAATGTTTGTTTCGTGTTAGACCCCTTTTTATAAACAAAGAAACATTTATTTATTAGATAATTTATCAAAAATCAGAGTTAAAATATACAAAACTTAAAATAAAAAAAAAGTTACAGTAAAAGTTTAATACAATCTTTGTTAAGTTCATGTTCTACAGTACATTTTGAACTCCTTCTTAGAGAGCTAATAATTGGATCTGAATGGCACAATCTTTGCATATCATCTTCATTAGTAACTTTTCTTGAATATTTTCTTGTATAGTTTCTCTATAATTTTTAACGTCTTTATTTTGACATTCCTGAGCTTTCCTCAAAAAGAAGCATTCCTCAGAAAGAAGACCTACTGGTGCTGGTTTATCTCGTACAACTTGAGAGCTATGAATTAGAATTTTATGTACTGGAAATCATGGGTACAGAGAAGCGTAGAGCTCTGTTTCTTTCGTATATTTTTCAAGTTCATCTGCGTTAATTTGATGTTTGCACGATAAAACACAAAGAATTATGTAGAAGCATTTTATGAGATTTTTATCGAAGCCAAGTATTTCAACAGACAACTTATAGTTTCGGAATACTTTTCATGCTGTGTTTCCATCATTTGTAGTACCTGAACCGCTGCTTTTTGGTACATCTACAGTTAAACCTAAGTAATCTTTTGTTTTTTGTTGAACAATAATCTTTTTTTTTATAATAATTTCTTTATCATCTTCCTATATTCTAATTTGGGTTTTTCCTAATTTAATTCTATAACTTATATGAAGGCAGTATTTAAAGCACCTAACCCATGCATGTAATGTGCTCAATTCAAACTCAGTGGAAACTGTATTATAGATTTTTGAAAAAGCAACATTTAGGTTGTTTATATTTGAAGGGATCAGTCCACAAATACTACATACTTGAAACTTTTCCATCAACCATTGTGCATTCTAACTTATGCTTGATAACAAAAGAATTAAAGATTGTTGGTTTCAAGTTACTGTTCTTAAAGGAAATATATTCTTATGTAATAACCTCAGCGCTTTCTTTTACATATTGAAATCGTAGTAAAGTGTAGAGGATGGTTTTTCATTAGTCCATAGTGATTTGCCAGATTCTTCAATATAAAGTTATTGTTATCTTCAATATAAAGTATTGGAATCTTCAATATAAAGTATTGGAATGATGCAGGATAAAATAAAGATTGTTCCTCAACATAACTGATACTTATCTTGTCTTCTGTACTTTGTTTGTATAATGATTGGCTGGTTGAACCATCAAATCCTACTTTGTGTATAAAGACAAGAATGAATTTCGCAGAAGCCTTTACTGATTCATGGAGTATTTTTAATAGCCTGTATGTAGTATGGTCAATAAGGCTTTGTAAATCAACTGAGACTGACTAATCAGTAGTTTGTATTCCACAACGAAGTATGCATAAAACCTTTTCTTCCCTTACTTCATTATAAGTTGGATACAATTTGTTTCCTTTAGAAAATGCTCCAATGAGAATTGTTTGGTAATCGGCTCTACTAAGTCGGCAGTCCAAAATCAACGCTAATGCTTCCTCTCCAGTATACATTATTGTTGAATTAACTGCACAATCTTTCTCTGATTTTAATATTTGCTTCGCAACCTTAAGTGTAAAAATGTAAATTTGAAGAGTGAGGTGAATACAATCTACTAAGAAAAATTATCCCCCTTAGTATTTTTTATTTTTTTAATAAGTAAGATAAATTAAAAATGATTATAGTATTGAGGTTAATGTATCTTGGCATCGCTGAACCTTTTTTCCTCATCTAGTTTCAAAATAAGTGAGTAAAATAATTCCTCTCTTTCGACAGCAATATTTTATTTTTTCTTCTCTACTCTTTTTTGTTTTTCAGAAGCTTAGGTGAATGGTACGGAATTTACACCTGGTGGTCTTCTGTAGACAACTAATTTATATTAAAATATCAGATGTAAACATTTGTGTAACTGTAAACATTTGCTAAAACACAATTAAACAATGAAAAATATCATAAGTCCATTACTTTAATTTTTAATAATCAATTTTTAATTTTAATATTATACCTTTAATTTTTAATTTTAATATCATACCTAAATTATGAGAAGTAGGAAAAGCCAAGCCCGAGTATTGGCCCTTGTCTAGTTTATCTGTTTCAAAACATGCATCACTTGTTTGTAGTTTATTTTCTAACCAGATTTTGTAATGTTACTCAAATCTATCCTTGTGTCTATTTACTTTATTCCATTTTTGTTACACTGTTTAGAAAATAATTTAAAGTCTATGTCAGAGATCCCTGTAACTTTATAAGCATCAGGGTCAGTAACTGATTTGATTAAGTTATTTTCCAAAGCATGAAACAATTTTTGAGTAATTTCTTTATTTTTCATAGTGATTGGTATAAGAAAATTTCAAGTTAAAAATATAATTATAGTTTTTTAAAGTTTTTAAATAGGATTTGTATTTTACATAATTTAAAACATTATTGATAATTAGCTGAAATAAGTTTAAGTTTGTTAATAAAAAAAACCACATTACTTGTGGAATAGCAATATTTTAATGTTTTTTGTTGTTTCCGTAATTCCAATTAACTATTTTGAGTTCATACTTAACAACAATGTGATTTGAACAATTAAAAATGACTAACGAGTTGAATGTTTAAAACCTGCTAAACTTTAATTGGCGCAACTTTGCGCAAGATATTTTTAATGAGAAACCTTCTACAATATTAAGACACTGTAAAAAAGTTAATCCCATAGTGGGGAAAGGTGGGCAAAAAAAGATCTTGAACCATTTATGGTAACTTTTTATCATGTTTTGTAATACTTTTAATTGTCATATTTAAAGTTAGAAAAAAAAGTCCTAAAATAAAAGATTATTTTTATTTGTTAAATTTTCTAAAATAAAGCATGTACCCTGATATTGAGATTATAAAAATTTAATTATATTTAAAAAAAAATGCGCATACAAGATGAATTTAATTTTATGAGTTTTTTTTTTTTTTTTTTTTTTTTTTTTTTTTTTTTTTTTGTAAAAAAATATTGCAAAAAAAACAAAGTTTCCACAAATACTCATTTTCGACATTGATACTGATCTCTGGTCTACTGCCCTGCATCAAAACAGATTTAAGCATTTAAACAGGACGCAAACATAGATAAAATAACTTGCAGGTGAATAAACACTGTGTCAGAAGTTCAGACAGAACACAAACTTACTTATAAACATAAACAGACAGAACACAAACATACATAAAGTAACTTACAGGTAAATGAACACTGCGCTAGAGGTTCAAACAGAACAAAAAGACACATGCAGTAACTTAAAGGTGAGTTAACACTGCATCAGAAGTTTAGATAGAACACAAACAAACTTATAAAGTATGTTTGTGTATATATATATATATATATATATATATATATATATATATATATATCTTATACTACTGAGTTAGGTGAGCATGATGACGTCATACTGAAATAGCCTGCTGCCAGGGGCTTCAGTACATATATCGACTGACAAATAGCCTGACTCACAGTGGAGTGCTGCTACATCGACTAAGGGTTTGGTATGGGTCAGCAACCTTTTCATTCATTATTCTTCGTTTTCCCTCATCGTTTTCTAAAAACACTCACTTAATTTAGGCTGGAAAAAAAAGTGAGCAATTGCGCATATAAATATGCTATAGTAAAGCAAAAAATTATCTTGATATTAAATACTAAATAGTACTGATGACAGGAAGCAAACTTCTTCCAGCCTTTGTTTAGAAAGCAAATTCCAAAAGTCAGCAGGATATGGAACAGGTTGCACTGGGTTACATATTACCAGTAGCAGGGTAATCATAAAGACCAGTAGCAGGCTGATCATGAATTACTTTAAGAAAAAGAATTAAATCTTTAAGAAGTATATGTAGTGGTTTTCAGATGTAGTTAAGAATAGTATGTGACTCTTCCACTCACACTCCTCCATGCATGTATGATTTGAGCGTATTTTACATGATTTAAAACCTACTTCTGTACGCAAAATTTTTTAAATATTTAAAAAACAATATTGAAAAATCTGTCGTTAAAAAAGATGTAAAAAATGTTTTTTGTAAGTTAATTTGCAACAAAACTTTTCATTGTTTAAAAAATTATTCAAATGACCATTTCATCATAGTATAAACAAAAGAAAAAAACAATTTTTCCATTGCAATAGAAAGGATTTATTTTTCTTTTCTTTTGTAAAGAAATGCATTGCCGTTTTTTTTTTAATTTAATTTTATTTTTTGATTATGTGAACTTTAATGGTTTTTAAAAAATATTTTTTCGAGAACACAATCATTGTTTAATGTTGTTTTTATTCATAGAAGTTAGAAATCAATCATAAAAAGACATAAGTTTATTTTTTAGTCTTAAAAATGTTATAATGTATTATTTACAAAATATTATAAAAAAGGCTTCATAAATTAATATTAATAATTTTATAAATAAAAGTCTTTTTAAAGTCTTTTATTTATAAAATTATTAATATTTAAAAACATTTTATTTGTGCTTTATACTATACTTCATAGTTTATAATATTTTTAAGTAATATTATGTATATATGAAAACTTTTTTTTTATATAATTATGTATATATGAAAACTTTTTTTTTATATAATTATGTATATATGAAAACTTTTTTTTTATATAATTATGTATATATGAAAACTTTTTTTTTATATAATTATGTATATATGAAAACTTTTTTTTTATATAATTATGTATATATGAAAACTTTTTTTTTATATAATTATGTATATATGAAAACTTTTTTTTTATATAATTATGTATATATGAAAACTTTTTTTTTATATAATTATGTATATATGAAAACTTTTTTTTTATATAATTATGTATATATGAAAACTTTTTTTTTATATAATTATGTATATATGAAAACTTTTTTTTTTTTTAATTATGTATATATGAAAACTTTTTTTTTATATAATTATGTATATATGAAAACTTTTTTTTTATATAATTATGTATATATGAAAACTTTTTTTTTATATAATTATGTATATATGAAAACTTTTTTTTTATATAATTATGTATATATGAAAACTTTTTTTTTATATAATTATGTATATATGAAAACTTTTTTTTTTTTTAATTATGTATATATGAAAACTTTTTTTTTATATAATTATGTATATATGAAAACTTTTTTTTTATATAATTATGTATATATGAAAACTTTTTTTTTATATAATTATGTATATATGAAAACTTTTTTTTTATATAATTATGTATATATGAAAACTTTTTTTTTATATAATTATGTATATATGAAAACTTTTTTTTTTTTTAATTATGTATATATGAAAACTTTTTTTTTATATAATTATGTATATATGAAAACTTTTTTTTTATATAATTATGTATATATGAAAACTTTTTTTTTATATAATTATGTATATATGAAAACTTTTTTTTTATATAATTATGTATATATGAAAACTTTTTTTTTATATAATTATGTATATATGAAAACTTTTGTGCATTAAAAAAAAAAAATTCTCTAGAGTTTTTCACTTGGCTCAAAAAAATTCTTCAAAATCAACTCTAAACACACTTATAAATACAAACACCTATATCTTTATATATGCATGCATATATATTTATATATATTTATATATATGCATACATGTATATTTATATATGTGTGTGTACATATGTATTTGAATATATATGCATACACATATTTGCATATTGTAGCTAACAGTGTACTGCAAGATCCAATTAGAATTGTTTAGAAACTTTTGTAGGTGAAACTACACCCTCAAGGTCACAATGCATTCACAATGCATTTAGAAAAGACTGATATTATAAATATAATAAAAGAAAAAAAGAAAAATATAACATAATAAAAAAATAAAACGTTTATTTGCAAGAAATAGAACCCTAATCTTCATTGTAGAATAACCATGCATTATCTAAGGGATCAATGACATATATGACTATGGGATTGAATTTATTATTTATTTAAAAAATTAAATCTAGATTTTTAAAAAGCAACTTATAATATCTTTGAACAAGTTTTTGATTTAGAATTTTTGTTTTTATATATTTAAAGAGAAACAGTTATTGATGTTGACTTGGTTCAAAGAAATGATGTATTACTGGTATGTTTTTCTGTCTCATGTGTTTGAATAATTTGTTTCTTTTCATTATTTTTTTAATCTGTTTTGTTTTTTGTATCTGTTATTAGTAATTTATTGTGTGCATTTTTGAATTTATGAAAATAATTTGTTATGGATATTAGTAACAATTTATCACCGATTATAACCAAATGTGTTCATGTTAGATTTATGGTTTTCAAATATTTTTTTGAATGCTATATTTGTGCTATTTTAATTGACATCCAATTGATTTTAAAATGTTCTTTTTAAAGTACTATTTGATTGTATGATTTTAAGGGAATTCAAAATCTGTTTATTTTACTAGTTCCGTATAAAAAAAAAATTAAAAATAGTGGTTTAAAAATTTATGTTTTAGCAGAAATGCATTAAAAATTTCAACATTAAAAAACACCATAATTTTATGAAACATTACAAATAGAGGAAGTGTTTTTGTAATGATTTCACAAGTAGAGGGATTGTTTTTTTAATGGCAAAAAGGAGAAAAAAAGATAAACGAGGAAAGGAAAATTAAAGAAAATTATTTTAAAGTGAAAACAATGAAAATATTAATGATTGTAAATTTAAATAATTGAAGAAAAACATTTTAAAAAACAAATCAACTATAAGCAAAGTTAAAAGAAAAAAATTTACAAATTTGAAAATAGAAAACTATAATAAGAAAACAAAAAAAACAATTTTTTAAGTTTTATTATTTTATGTGTTTGCATTTGATTATATTGTTTTTATTAGTGTTTTATTGTATTTATGTGTATTGTTAAAACTGTCATGCATTTTTGTACATTGGTTATATTGACGAGTATTTCTGTGTATATTTTATATTGTCATGTATCTCTATTTTTATTTATACTGTTATGTATTTTTGTGTATTGTTTATATTATCCTGTAATATTTTATTAAGATATCACTTTATATGAATGTCACCGAAACCACTTTTGTAAAATTATCATTAGATTTTTAATTTTTTCAACTTTATTATTAAGTAAATGGATTTTGAAAGAAAGAAAAAAAAAATTAAAATGTCCTGTTGTTTTTGGCTTTTTTTTTTTTATTGACTTTTTTTAATAAAAACATTGATCTTTTTAATTTTCTTATTTAAAAAGCTAAATAAAAATATATTTAAAACTTGATTTTTAAAAAAAATTCTTATTTTAGTGTATGGAAAAAAGATAAAAAGGGTTAGGAAAAAACAAAACCATTTCAATTCATTCAATCATTTTGTAATCTTCATTATAGGTGAAACCAGGGTCAAGAATTCCATGTGATGCAACTGTTCTCTCTGGTAATTCTTCAGTTAATGAATCTCTAATTACTGGTGAATCTATGCCTGTTACAAAAACAGCAGGAAAATCTGTAATTGGAGGATCAGTAAACCAAACAGGTGTTTTGTTGATCAAAGCAGTAAATGTAGGTGAGGAGACAACTCTTTCTCAAATTGTAAAATTGGTGGAGAATGCTCAGATTTCCAAGGTAACACTTTTAATATTCCCAGTACATAATAAATTAATGGAAATTTTATTTTATTTTCCTCCTATAAATAAACTTGTAAAAACAATTTTGAAGTTTGCGGCAATATGCGAATTTAAATGAACTAAAGTCTCAGCTGTTATTTAAAAATTTGCGGTAGAAAGTTCAAAAACTAAATTGATAATTATAAAACATTGCGTCTTTTCTTTTGTATTTTAAATAAAAAGTTACCAAGCAACAAAAAGCGACATTAGCTTTTTTTTTCGTTAAAGTATCATTAGAGTTTTTTTTGGTGAAATAAAATATAGTACACAGTAGATTTACTCGACATTAAATGTTATGATTAAAAAAAAAATTTACTTATTATAAATATGAATAAATGGCTAGCAAGCAGAAGGAAAAGAAAGTTAAGCAGTGATAGTTCTAAAAGTAATTTGGAAAATGACACTGAAATAAATAAAGAAGTGACAGATTTTTCGAGTATTGAAACTTGACAATCCTTTCCTCAATGTGATGGTATTTTCCCAGATTACTGGTCTGATTTAAAGTGGAAGGAGAAATTAAAAACATTTGACTGGTTGACAGTTTCATTAACAGGTCTTGGTTGTTCTGTTTGTAAGTCAGCAAATAATTTAAGTGCCGAAAAATCTCAAGGAATAAAATTGGCTAGCGAGTGGACGCTTGGCAATGTTAAGGAGTATGGTAAAACAAAAGAAAAAAAACAGCAATCAATGAGGAAAAAGCTTTCAAGCCATAAACTATCAGTTGCACACGAAAAGTCTTGTAAAATTGTTTCTCAGTCCAAAAAACACCATAGAGATGTTTAGTTTAAAAATGCAGATCAATCAGCACGAAACTACCTACCGCATATTTCGCACTGTTTATCACATTGCAAAAATGAATCGTTCATTTTCTGATTTGAATGAACTAATATTATTACAGGTAGTAAATGGTTTAGACATGGGATGTATTTTACAATCTGATCACGCATGGGCTGATATTGTTTATCACATTTCAAATGAAATTGGCACTAAGCTTGTAAAATATATTCTTCATAACTATAATAAAGTAGGGTTTATAATAGACGAATCTACCACAATGAACAAAAAGTCTGCTCTGTCAATCTGCTTGAGAGTGAACATTCCAGAAATAAATATTGTCAACAGTATTTTTTTTATCTTATTGAATTAACAAATACAGAAGCATGGTCTATTGCAAACTCTTTTATATGTGCTTTACACGATTTTGGTTTTGACAACAATTTTTTATTATGTAATTGGTCTTTTGCATGTGATGGTGCTTCTAATATGCTTGGCAAAAGGCAGGCGTGGCCCAGTTACTTTACAATCAGTTTCCTAATTTGATTTTATGGCATTATAGCAATCACCGATTAGAGTTAGCAGTAAATGATGTTGTGCGCGATATCTTACTAATTTGTCACATGAAAAGCTTTTTTGATAAATTATATTCCATTTACAGTGCATCTCCTAAAAAAAAAAAAGAACTGGAAACTGTTGCTATGGTTTTAAGTCTAAAACTAAATTCCATTGGACGAATTCTAGGCACTCGATGGGTGTCGTCTAGCGCTCGATCTGTGATTGCTGTTTGGAATAATTATGCAGCATTGTATCAACACTTTCATGAATCTTCATTGGGTTTAAGGCGTAATGGAGGAGATAGAGCCCAACATGCAGGTCTTAAAAATAAATTATGTGATATCAATTTCATACTCAACATGGGGCTAATACTAGATGCTTTAATAGAACTAGAACATCTTTCTAAAAATTTTTAAAAAGATAGGCAAACTTCTCTACTTCATGCACATCGACTTATCACCTTAAAATACCATATATTTCAATCAATGAGAAATTATTCAGGTGAATATTATTCGCAAACGCAGCTTGCAGCAGAAAAGTTTGATTTAAAGGAGTCAAACTACAGATCGGAAAAGTTTCTAAAATTAATCAAAATGAATTTTTTAGTAAACTAAGTGTAAATCTTGATTCTAGAATGTTTACAACTAGAGCTGCGCATAAATCTTTACAAGACAAAGAAAATGATCCAAACTAAGAAAAATACGATAATTTAATAAAAAATTTACAAATTTTTGATTAGTCACAATATTTTGCAGACCAAGATCCATGCTTTGGAGATAACGATATTGGACAATTAGCAAAAACTTTGAATATTTGTGAAATTACGGCAGTCCAAAGGTTTCGTGAGTATATTTCCACTGGTGACTGTAATAAAACCCCTAATGATCTTCAGCCTCTGAGAACTGCTATAAATACCTTGATTGTTTCAACAGCTGAATGTGAGCGTTCTTTTTCTACTAGGAATATAATCTTATCTTCCTTGCGAAACGAGTTCAATGTTCATTTCATTAGTAGGTCCATCAATGATGCATTTCGATCCAAAGAATTATGGTCATTAAGTAGTTTGGGAAAGGACTTCGCAATGCTAATTTTAGGAATTGTGAAGCGCCGGCATTAAAGTCTATAAATGAAAGTGAAACATTTTGGAAGATATTCTGACCGAATTTTTTTTCAATTATTTAAAAATTGGTAAATACAAAAAAATAAGACTTAATTAAAAATAAAATGTTTAAATATACCATTGTTTTTTGATTGCTTAATGACATTTGATATGAAACTTAACTCAATATGAAACAATTTGAAACTTAACTCAAGTGACAGTCTCTTAAGAATATAACGGACCTCAAGTTGTTTTTTTAATATAGGTTTTTTACTGTTTTTTTTAGGGATTTATAAGTCCTTTAGTTAATCTACACAAAATATAAAATCTATAATTTTAGGATAGGTGGGATGGTGATTAGAAAATATTAAAAACCATCCCGCTAACTTTTTTTTACCACTTCGAGCACTGTATATATGTATATATGTATATATATATATAGATATATATATATATATATATATATATATATATATATATATATATATATATATATATATATATAGATATATACTACTGTGATCAAAAAGTAAGGTGAATTTTTTTATAAAATGAAAAATCTTTATTTATTCTTCCAAATCTGTATCGTCCCCCTCAAAATAATCCCCCCCGGCCCCAATGCACTTTTGCCAACATTTTTTCCAGTTTTGAAGCATGCCGAAAAGTCCTCGGTAGGGATAGCCTTCAATGCACGTGCCGATTCACATTGGATCTCTTCAATGGACTCAAAACGATTTCCCCGGAGTGGTCTCTTGAGCTTTGGAAACAGTCAGAAGTCACATGGTGCTAAGTCGGGCAAATACGGTGGTTGTGGAGCAACATGGGTAGAGTTTTTGGCGAAAAACTCACGAAGAACCAGTGCTGTGTGCGAAGGCGCATTATCGTGGTGCAAAATCCAAGAGTTATTGGCCCATAATTCCGGTCTCTTTTTGCGAATAGCTTCACGCAAACGTCACATAACGCTTAAATAATATTCCTTGTTGACAGTTTGGCCAGTTGGAAGGAATTCGTAGTGCACGAACAACAATAATCAAAGAAAACAGTCAACATGACCTTGATTTTTGAGCGACTTTGACGTGGTTGCTTCGGTCTCGGCTCGCCTTTTTCACGGTATTCACTCGATTGGTCGGTTGTTTCAGGGTCGTATGCGTAGACCCAAGTCTCATCGCCAGTAATAATTTGTTTGTAGACGTCTTGATAGTCAGAAAGCATTGCTTCACACGCTTTAACGCAACACTCTTTTTCAAATAAATTGAGAAATTTTGGCACCAAACGTGATTTGAGTCTTCTGAGGCCCAAATGATCCTTCAAAATCGCTTGCACCAACCCAAATGATATTCCAACCATGTCAACAAGGTCTCGAATGGTTAACCAACGATTTGCAAGCAGTAATTCTTTGATTTTGTTGATGTGGCGATCATCAATCGAAGTCAATGGCTGTCCGGAGCGTTCCAAGTCATCAACATGTTCTCGGCCTTCTTTGAAGTCTTTGTACCAATTGTAAACATTTTTTTGAGGCATAGTCTCTTCACCGAAGGCCTTTTGCAACATTCGATACGTTTCAGCAGCAGAAATATCATTCCGCAAACAAAATTTAATAGCACTTCTTTGCTCAACAAAATTAGACATCGTGAAAATTGCCTAATGCACTTTTGGTACTTCAGAAACAAGCGTAAACAAAAAAAAATAATTATGAGTTTGACATGTAATTTGGCGCAAATGTTAATGACATTCCTACCAACTTAAAAATAAAAAAGATTGGACGATTCGAATAAGGCGGGAAGTTTAAATTAAAAATTCACCTTACTTTTTGATCACAGTAGTGTATATATATATATATATATATATATATATATATATATATATATATATATATATATATATATATATATATATATATATATATATATATATATATATATATATATATATATATATATATATATATGATAAACTTGAGTATTTATCTGACAAATTGTCCAGAACAAAAAAGTTTGTTATTTCGAGCTTGTGCACTCATATATATATATATATATATATATATATATATATATATATATATATATATATATATATATATATATATATATATATATATATATATATATATATATATATCCTTTACAGAAAAACTTTCATTGAGAGAGTTTTCTATGGGAAACCCATGAGTTTTTCCATGGAAAACCCATGAGTTTACCATGGAAAAGTGTTCCCAATACCCATGGCAGTTCCATGGTTTTTCCATAGATGGAAAATGTGTATTTGGAACACCTTTCCAAGGAAAACTCATGGATTTTCCATGGTAAAATAGCATGTTTTGTTTTCAAGTTTTTTTGATCTCACGTTATTTGAATTGTCATATTAAACCATAGAACGCAAATTTTATCACGCAAGTTGCTAATATTATTGAGTTCTTTTAATCTATGGGATTGCTTTTGCAGAATAAAATCAATATTTATAATTTAACAAATTTAAATCTTGTTGAATCCTACAAATCTTTGAAAAATAATAGCAATAATGCACCTAAA